ACTGTTATCTAGATATTACAACAAAGGTGATAGATTTAGAGATACGCTTGCCCAGATCTACATTGGTAAACCATGTGCTGGTAAATAAGTTCTCAAAAAAAAAAAGCCTTAATTTATCACATTTGCTGATTTCCATGGTGTAATATTCCCACTGTGGTCAATTTTAAACTATCAACATGATGTTTCCAATTTTAGAGGTAAAAGAGTAGATACGTTAATGCCTGTATGAGCCAATGCAGTACCCCCATGCTCTGAATCACAGAGCTACACTGTCTGGGTTGCAATCCCTTCTACTGTCATTCCTCTTATTTAAAGAAAAGGATGAAGAGTGTATTTCTTGTTGAAGGATGTTATCCTACAATAGCTGAAAGGAGAAATCAGGCTTAGGGCAGAGGGTGTTGCTCAATGGTATAGTGCTTGCCTAGCATGTAGGAGATTCTGGGTTCGAATCCCAGGAGAGAGGGAAGGGAAGGGAGGGGAAGGGAAGGGAAGGGGAAGGGGAAGGGGAAGGGAGAAAGAAAAACAGACCAAGCCCTCATGCATCAAGGTAGTAGATAAAGCAGAGAGCCAGGGATGGGAAAGGGGTTGAAGAAAATGAGTCACAGAGACTTTCTTAATTCTCTTTAGGGACCCAGACTTGAATTAGTCAGAAGCCACAGTGGAGGATCAATTCAGAAATCCAAAGTGACTAATTTCAATCTTAGAGATATGGGCACCCCACAAAGATTCTGAAGCCAGCTGTTGTCTATTTTCATTGCTGCCTATGTGTGTCTGTTCCTTTCATCATCTTACACTACCTTAGACCAGTATAAACTGAAAGTTTGTAGAGTTTTTGTGTTTGTTTTGAACCAATACTATTTACTTACTTTTTTTTTTTTTTCTGATGCTAGGGATTGAACCCAGGGCCCAGTGCACACTAGGCAAGTAATGTACCATTGAGCCATGCCCTCAAACCGTGAACCAACATTTTTTAAGTTTATAGATTTCATATTTCAAAAAATCAGGACTTTCATTCTCTCTTCACCATGAGTGAAATTCCCACGTAATAATGGAAGGTAGTAGCTGCCACTTTTAGGCAAGGCATACATACACCTTCCAGTTAGCTACAGTCTCCACCACTTTCTATTGTCTCACTCATTTACAATATCTGCAGGTTTCCAAACTTTGTCACTTGTGTCTTAGATTTACAAGAGCTCCATAGCTTTAGATTCAGAAAACTGTCAGAACAGCCAGACATGAAGGCACATGCCTATAATCCGAGGCTGGGGAGGCTGATGATTGCAAGTTCAAGGCAGGCCTCAGCAACTTAGTGAGACCCTAAGCAACTTAGAGACACCATCTCAAAATAAAAATTAAAAAGGGCTGGGAATGTAGCTCAGGGCTGGGAATGTAGCCCAGATTCAATCCCCAGTACCAAAGGAAAGAAGAAGAAGGTGGAGGAGCAAAAAGAGGAGGAGGAGGAACAGGAAAAGGAGGAGGAGGAAAATAGGTCAAGCAAAATATTGCATGGATTCCCCTACACACACAGACACATACACACAAATAATTCCCACCTTGTCCTTCTGCCAATGTAATGCTCTTGGTAGACTTAAAACCCCTCTACATGATCAATCAGACCACCACATTTCTACAAGAACTGGGGCTCTGCCATGGGATGCGTAGTTCTCTTTAGAAAACCTTCTATCCACAGGGCTCTAAACGCTTCCTCTTGTTATATAGCTGCCTGAGGTCACCACCAATAAATTACTGGCTTAAGGAAAACAATGACAAGCCTTTTCCATGGAGAACAGGGTTTGTTCACTCAATTATTTCCTAAAGTCATGCCCTCTTTCCAGCTTGACACCATAATTTTTGAAGCAATAGCACTGAGTCTGTTTGGTGCTGTTCTTCACACCCACAAAGTCACACAGCACCTGCCACATGAGCACAGCAAAGTTTGAGAACAATTCTTCCTCCTGGCAGTGGAATTAGTGAAGTAATGATCATTGCATTGCTAATTAAGTGGCTGCTTTGTTAAAATGACTTACCAGGGTGACTCTAAATTGGCTATATTTGTTTACCAGCCTAGCTTTTTTTCTTTGGGTAGGAAATTATGTTGACTGCTCCTGACTGCTATAAAACTTTGAAAGAAATCACAAATAGTCTCATTTTACTGAAAGCAAACCTTTTAGAAATTTAAGATGTGATTGAAATAACTCCAAGAAAACCAGTAATAATTTTCCTAAATTGGTATAGAGCTGCTTAAGTTCTAAGGCTTAAGTTTCTTTTCCAAAGTCATTTTCCACCTGTAAGTGTTGGAGACAGAAGGCATTAGAGAAGGAGTGGGCTGGGTGTGGTCAGGCAGGAGACCATTTCACTTAACACCGCCTTGCAAATAGTTGACATTTGATAGCATTGTCTCTTTGAGATTTGTATCCTATTGCTAGAATTACATGACCCTTGGGGAAAACAGGCTTGCTTTCTCTTTTTCTTTTCTTTTTTTTTTTTTAATTACTTGGGAAAACATTAACTTTATCCCTTTGAGTATCCCCTACAACCATCAAGGAAGTTTGTACTACTTTTTCTCTTTCAGAAACAAAAGCTATCAAACATTTTAAAAAGAGATTGGAAGGGTCTGTGAGAGGACAGGAGGATGCTATATATTCTTCAGGCCTTTAAGATCCCTGTCTCCTGCCATCCACCTTCAGGAAGAGGACTGTCCCTAAGCTATCTTCTGTCTCTGACCTGAAGCCGATTTTGGAACAGAGTACAGCTTTCTTTTTTTTTTTTTTTTTTTTTTTTTTTTTTTTTTTAATATTTATTTTTTAGTTCTCTGCAGACATAACATCTTTGTTTGTATGTGGTGCTGAGGATCGAACCCGGGCCGCACGCACACCAGGCGAGCACGCTACCGCTTGAGCCACATCCCCAGCCCGAGTACAGCTTTCTGTCAAACACATAAGTACACATAGACTTACACATGAATCAACCAGCTACAGAGAGAGCAACAGGAGGTGGCAGGATGCTTGCCACCATGTCACTTGATTTGCAAGCATCTCCTCCAAACCATGGCCAAGGCTAGTAATTCCCTGGGCTAAAGCCAACTTGAGAACTTGGGGACACTGCCAAAGCCCTGACAGCCCCTAAGCCTGGATCTGTTCTCAGAGCCACATAGGAAAGAATATTTAGGGGAGAGGAATAAAGACATACATGCATTTAAAAGTTGGATTACTTCACAAGAGATGCCACTTAAGCACTAGGTAAGTAAATGTCAAGTGACCTTCCAGAGGATGCAGCTTTCAGAGGGTAAATTGCAATGGCCAGAAAAAGGGAGACATTGTAATGGAGTGGAACAAGCCGGAGCTCTGGAGCCAGACAGACTGAATACAGATCCTCACTGTGTGGTCACATGCAAGTTGCTCATCCTCTCCAGACCTTATTTTCTTTACCTAAGGAAGAGAAGTAATGGCACCTGCCTTACAGAATTGTTGAGGAGATTATCTGGGGTTGGTTGCACTTAACAAGCAATCAATGTTTGAGTTTTGTTTGTTTTTTAAAGTATATCACAGAATACTGAAAACAGCGGTTTAGGTAAGATTAACGGGGAGAAAACAAGGAGGACTATCACATCTAGTGAATACTTTAGGAAGTAGAAAGGTATGAGAAAGGAGGCATTCTGATTCCTTTTTTTTTCTTTTTTGTTAAAATTTATTGACATTTTTCTGAATATGAAAATGCTTCATCACTATTTTAGAAAAAATGGAGAGTGTTAAAATGCAAGGAAGAAAGTAAAAAATCAAATATAATTATCTAGCCAATGAAGCTTCCAATAAATATTTCATTTTTTATCCTATCTTTTCCTAAATGTGTATTTTAACAAAATTGAGATTACGATATATACACAGTTTGGAATCCTGCTTTTGGCACTTATTGTTTCATATTTTCCCATGTTATTAAAAATTCTTCACAACATTATCTGCAGTGTCCACAGGGAATTTCATATATAGATGTACCAAAATCTCAACTATCCACCAACAATGGACTTATGGTATTGTTCAGATATTTCACTATTATTAATGGTCATAAGTTAATTATTAACTATTATTAATGTGGTATAAGTCTTTCTTCCTTAGGATAAATTTCTATAGGTGAAATTACTGACCTAAGGTTCCTGCTGAATACAAAATACTTTTCACTGAGTATTTTCCCAACCCACACTTCTACCAGTAGTTAGAGATAGAGACAGCTGCTCTTTTCAAAGCCCAAAGCCAAATATTATCTTTGAAAGAAAAAAATTTTGGCTAATTTATAGTCACTAAATAGCATTTCATTGTTCTTTTGTTTCCTCTTATCTTAAAATGATCCTTAAAAGGAGCGTTCAGATAAACGCAGACTTCTTTTGTCTGCAAACAATCAACAAATATTTATTATTCAAATCATTCCACTAGGGATATATCCTCTCTTCCTTTGGGGGCAAGTTTGAGAGATTCCACCTTTCAGATTTTTGCCATTGTGAAGAATGGATTTTGGAGATACAACACAGCTGTCATTCCAGGATAAAACATACTGATCCCGTCACTACAAAGTTTCCCAAAACGGATCTTCTGCCTGTCCTAACTAGCTTATGAAAATAAGAAAATCCTGAAGTTGTGTTTAGACGTTTTAATAAAAGTGCTTTTGAGTTTTTGTATGTCATTTGGAGGGTTTTGAGAATTCCACCTGACCCCCAATATCAGCTTTCCTGTATCTGCTAAAATGCAGTGTACAGGGAAACCTTCAAAGGCAAACATTAGGGAGCCGGCCCTTACAAAAGAAGAAAATCATGCTCAGTAGAGAAAAGGGTCTCAGTCTCCCGAAACACTTCTAAACCGAAAGCTTTTCCTTTGATAAAGCAAAGGTGGGGTACTGCTCAGGGTCCACTCTGGACAAATCCTCTCCTTAGGGCTGTCCCAAGATAGGAGGATGCGATCTGGGGTCCGTGCCGTCGCGCAACCAGAGGTCTCGGGATAGGAAGCTCCTACCTGGGAACCAGCTAGGACTCCTGCGGTCCCGTCCCTCCGTGTGCAGTCGCACTGATTCTCAGCCCCGCCCCTCCCTCGCTCCCCGCCGCGCCCGGGCGAGACGCAGGCGGGAAGTGGCGAGGGGCTGGAAATTTATGTCTGGACGCCTACTGCAAACCCCAGCCCGTCTGGGGCTGCTTTAACGGTCCTATCCCCGCCCCGCCCCTCAACCTAATTTCTCGTTTGTGCTAAAGCTGTTCTCCGCACACAACCGTGGAAGACAACGGATGCGGCGCGGAAACCTGGTTCCGTCCAGGCTTTGAATCCCAAGGCACTTCTTCTCTGCGGCCGGTCTTCAGTTTCCAAGGATGCTCCCCCTCCCCGGCACGTGGCACACAGTCGGCCCTTTGTGCATAATCTGTTGACTAAATGCATCTCTGTGATGTTACCATCCACACGTTTTAAGAGAATGAGCAAGTGATTCTAAATTCCTTGTGATGTTACAGAAAGTCCCAATCGCCAAACACTTTTAATAATCCCACACACAAAAATATTATTCATGAATTGGTTGCCACTATTGTGAATTTCCTCCCAGGAACACACTTCTACTTCTCTGTTAGTCTCAAGAATTGTATCAAATCCTATCTGCTTCTGAAAGGTGTTTCCTGATTACTTACGCCTGACCCTGATGTAATTACTATGATTATTCACATAAAGTTACACACAGTTTTGCTGCGAAGCACCTTTACAAAAATCTGCCGAATGGACAGCATCTGCTGAAAGAGCGGGGAATGGAGTCAGACGCTCGGCCCCGTTTTCAACATTGCCGCCTACTGGTTGGGTTACTATCGTAAGTCACTTCCCCTCTCTGGACCTCAGTGTCTCCATCTGTAGCATTTCCAGGTCTGGATTCCATCCACGTGAATGAGAATTGTCGCACTCATCACGCAGAGATGCGTCTCACGGTCGCACTTCCCGCCTCCCTCCAGACGCATAAGGCTTTCCCCCAAATTCGGGGACTTTCTACCCTAATCTGGACTTTCAAAAGTGACCATCGGTGATCCACTACGGCTCTGGAGCTCCCCAAGCAGCTCACCCCTAAGCCCCGCCTCTCCGTCCTCCTCTTGGTTGCCAGTCCTTCTCCCCAAACACGCCCCCCCCCTTAACTGCGCATGCGCTGTTTAGCGAGCGTGTTTTTATAAAAGTCCGGCTTCGGCCAGAAACTTCAATCTGTTGGCTGTTGCAGCAGGTAGCAAAGTGACCCTGAGGACCTGAGTTCTCCCGTGGCTTCTGCGACTGGAGAAGGAGCGGCTACCATGGAAGGGATCAGTGTAAGTCCAGTTCCAACCTTTGTGCTAAACGTACAGACGCTTGAACTTAGAGCTCAGCCGCTCTCGGAGCGGGCAGAAGGGATCAGAACATTGGATCTGTCCATGCCCCAAAGAAGGGACATGGAAAGAAATTTTCAGGACTATGGCTATGTGGTGGGTTAAGATTGGAATTTCTTTTTTTTTTTCCCCAGAAAGTTGAGGGGAAAAAATTGAAATGAGGGTTCATGCGGCTGCATGTGTCTCCCCCTTGAGTCCTGCGGCGCACGCTGTTTGCAAACATAACATTTTGCCCAAGTGCAGGGAAGGCGCGCGCTTTGCCCCAGTATTCAGAACCTTGGTCTCTTCCTCCCAGGAAAGTGGGTGTCTTGGAGCGAGTTACATTATCTGAACCTAGAGGCAGGGGTCAGCGCTCCTGGGCTGGTTTTCCAGAAGTATTCTTCGTCCTAGGTTAACGTCGAGCACAAGCTCTTGGGGACTGTTTCTTGTCTTTGGGCGCACATTAGCTTAACTCCGTGCAGCCAGCAGAGGTGTGCCAGACTCGGGCACAGTGGGCAGACGGCGGGAAAGTCGGGCAGGCGCATTGCGCTGCTTGCTTGAGGGGTCAAAGCTGTGGCAGCAGCCGGGAGGTGGTTGGGAGTTATCCGCACGCACCCCTTGGGATTGAGAAAAAAGGTGCGGTGCCCGAAGCGCTTCGCTTGCCCCTAGTGGGGCCTCGAAGTTTGGGAGTTTGGGATTGTGCAGAGGTCGAAGGAGGCAGGCACATAGAACTTCTGGCCCCGAGGTGTGTGCAGCAGGCACTGAAGTAGCAGGGGTATTGGGACAGCACCTGGGCTGCCTGGTCTCCCGGGCGAAGAACAGGTGCGAGCGGGGAGACCGTTTGGCTGTCTTCTAACCTATTGCGTCGCGTAACCGTCGGTGGTTTCCTGAAGCCTTTTGAAACCTCCTTGCCTGGGAGGCTTTTCATTTCCTCCCGCGGCGCGCAATTCAAAGGAGCTCACCACGGAGCCGCCCAATCTCTCTTTAGCACCCTGAGGGGCAAGCCTGGCCGCACAACCAGGCGGAACCCCTGGAGCCGCTACCAGCCTGTTGTGGATGTGGGTGTGGTGGGCAGCGGCACGGCTGTGGTGGGGCGGGGTGATCCGACCCCTGGTAAACCCAATGCCTGGAGGCTTCCAACTGCCCCCTTCCGACCCCTTCAACTGGATCGGTGGCAGGGTGGAAAGTGATCTGGGAGAGTGAGGAAATGAAACTTGGGGCGCGGACCACGAGTGCAGACCCCGTGACTTTCCCCACCCAGGAAAATGCCGCGCTCCCTAACGTCTCAAACGCGCCAAGTAATAAACACGAGGATGGCAAAAGAGGCCCACGCCCCCAAGGAGCGTCGGTTTGGACTGAGGGGGTGCCATTTGCGCGTTTCTGACAATTTCTCTCAATACTTCAAGCCCTAAAAGACCCCGCTTTAATGCCGCAGTCTCCTTCTCCACTACGTGTTGCTTGAAGCGCAGAATGGTTTGTATTTAGACCGGCGTGGGAAAAACAATATTTTGCGTTTTAAAAGAATAAAAGACTTCAGGATTGTGAAGCCCCCTCCCTCCCCCGTCTGTTCCTTCATCCCCTCTGGCCTCTTTTTGGCTAATCTTCATACAAAAAGTTAATCCCAGCTCCTCCAGCAACCCTAGATTCTACACCCACATTGCCCCCACCCCATGCTGCCTGGGAGTGGCCTCTTTGTGTGTATGTTTGGTGTGTGTTTTTTTTTCTCTCTCCCTTGTACTTTTTTTTTTCCTTTCCTCTAGTGGGCGGGGTAGAAGAGTTAGCCAAGATGTGACTTTGAAACCCTCAGTCTCAGCGCCCTTTTGTTCTAAACAAAGAATCTTGTAATTGGTTCCACTAAAGAGGGATATAATGAAGTAACTATGGGGAAGATGGGGAGTATGGCTGTAGGATTTTATAATTCTCTTGGGCCTTTCCCCAGTACTTTAGAATTTCCTGAAGAAGGCTGACCTGGGTGTATATATATATATATGCACACACAAGAAATTGTTTGCTTTTAATACCCAGAAACATTTTTTTTAAACTTGGGTAGTGTCTGCTGACCTTGGAAGTGAATGTGTACCCTTGCCTCTTTTGCAGATATACACCTCAGATAACTACTCGGAGGAATTGGGCTCAGGGGACTATGATTCTATAAAGGAACCCTGCTTCCGAGAGGAAAGTGCCCATTTCAACCGTATCTTCCTGCCCACCATCTACTCCATCATCTTTTTGACTGGCATTGTGGGCAACGGATTGGTGATCCTGGTCATGGGTTACCAGAAGAAATTGAGAAGCATGACGGACAAGTACCGGCTGCATCTGTCAGTGGCCGACCTCCTTTTTGTCATCACACTTCCATTCTGGGCTGTTGATGCTGTGGCAAATTGGTACTTTGGGAAATTTCTATGCAAAGCAGTCCATGTCATCTATACTGTCAACCTGTATAGTAGTGTCCTCATCCTGGCCTTTATCAGTCTGGACCGATACCTGGCCATTGTTCATGCCACCAATAGTCAGAGGCCAAGAAAGCTGTTGGCTGAAAAGGCGGTGTATGTTGGCGTCTGGATCCCTGCTCTCCTGCTAACTATTCCTGATTTAATCTTTGCCAATATCAGTGAGGCAGAAGGGAAATATATCTGTGACCGCTTTTACCCCAATGACTTGTGGGTAGTTGTATTCCAGTTTCAGCACATCATGGTTGGCCTTATCCTGCCTGGTATTGTCATCCTGTCCTGCTATTGCATTATCATCTCTAAGCTGTCACACTCCAAGGGCCACCAGAAGCGCAAAGCACTCAAGACCACCGTCATCCTCATCCTGGCTTTCTTTGCCTGCTGGCTGCCCTACTACATTGGGATCAGTATCGACTCTTTCATTCTTCTAGAAATCATCAAACAAGGATGTGAATTTGAGAACACTGTGCACAAGTGGATTTCCATCACTGAGGCCCTTGCATTTTTCCACTGTTGCCTGAATCCCATCCTCTATGCCTTCCTTGGAGCCAAATTTAAAACCTCAGCCCAGCATGCACTCACCTCTGTGAGCAGAGGGTCCAGCCTCAAGATTCTCTCCAAAGGCAAACGAGGTGGACATTCTTCTGTTTCAACTGAGTCTGAGTCTTCAAGTTTTCACTCCAGCTAACGTTGATGTAAAAGACTTTTTTTTTATATGAAAAAGAACTTTTTTTTAAGTTACACGTTTTTCAGATATAAAAGACTGACCAATACTGTACAGTTTTTATTGACTGTTGGATTTTTGTCTTGTGTTTTTTAGTTTTTGTGAGGTTTAATTGACTTATTTATATAAATATTTTTTTGTTTGTTTCATGTTAATGAGTGTCTAGGCAGGACCTGTGGCCAAGTTCTTAGTTGCTGTATGTCTGGTTGTAAGACTTTAGAAAAGGGAACTGAACATTCTAGAGTGTGTAGTGAATCACGTAAAGCTAGAAATTATCCTCAGCTGTTTGTGCATAAATAATCTTTCCATTCCAGTGGAACATCTTTTTTTTCCTCCCCTTTTCTTAAGTTTTTTGGTTACACTGTGTGATTTTGCTCTAGAAGACAGCACTTATAACCAAAGTCTTAAGTGGTATAGAAATGCTGGTTTTTCAGTTTTCAGGAATGGGTTGATTTCAGCACCTACAATGTACAGTCTTGTATTAAGTTGTTAATAAAAGTACATGATAAACTTCCTTGGTGTTTTGTTCTGGTTTCTGTTAACATCCCCTTGGTTGGCAGAAGACAAAAATAATAGACATGTTTATGGCATACCAAATACAAGCAAAGGTATTTTTCTGGTAATATTTTACTTACACTTATCTATAATAGTTTCT